TTAAAAACACAAAACTTTGATACTTTTAGGGCTTTTGGGACACTCTGTACATTACAAAAATATTTTTAAAATGTGCACCCGATAGGCGTCTGTGGATTCATAAAATAATACTTTGCAAAAAACAAACGGGCTAATAACCCTGTATAGAATTTATTTTACTACTAACACGGATAATTGCCTAAATCCATTCAATTAGATTTTGAATTTCCCATTTAATTTTCTGAAATGTTGCAATATTTGATATCCTGACGTTTAGTTGTCAAACTGACAAACTGCCGCAATATAATTTATCGGTCAACTCCAGAAAATAGATCAACATTCTACGGCGTGCCTTCGACTTGCGTACCGTATAGGTACTATTTTTATTGATCCTCGGTGGAAACTAGCCGGGAAAAGTATAAGGTTTAGAAAAAAAACTTTGAAAATGTTGTCAAAACAGTCAGTGTCAAAGTCAAGCTGTCAGCGTGCGTGGCAAAACTTATTACTTTCCACACGGGATAACGACAATTTGTAATGGGTAAAAGTGATGCTTTCGCAATCGAAAACAGTGGCGAAAGTACGTCTTTTCCAACAGGGGATCAAGAAAATGTCATTTAGTATCAATTTAAATATGGTTAAAACTGAATCTCATAGAGCTGTTGCAAAAAGCAAAATGCCATAATGTTAAACTGGAACTTCTGAGCTGATTTATTTCACCTCGAAAAATGATGATGATAAGTAAGTACTTACCGAATTACCTTTCGGTCTTGTTTGGTCGAACTAACGCTTTCCTGTCTCTCCTTCCTCTTGCGCAACTTGCTGGAGGATTTCGCTTCGTCGAAGGTGAGTGAAAAAACCACCGGCTTTATGGGAACAGGCAACGAAATTTTCTTCACCTTGATCAATTTGGAATCGACTTGGCTTCTGGATACCGTATCTACGTTGGGTATACCGCTCTTCATTGCACTGGAGGGCCTAGAACAAATCCAAACTGGATACCTCAGTCGGCAGCTCTATCTAGTTGTCGTATTTACGGTGTGAAGATAGCAATTTGCTGGTGCAGATTAATGGGTTGGACACCAAAGACGAAATGAAGCTCTGATGAAGCAGGAAAATACGGTGATCTAAAATTAATTGTGCATATCTCGGTCGCGACACATTGTCACATCTACGGCTGTTTGAGGAAATGCGTCGATACCAGCCGCAATTTTAGCATATGGTTTTATGTGGCACCTCTGGCTCCCTTAAAGCTTCTTCCCGCTTAAAGACGATGCTTTAATTACCTGAAATCATTTCACTTCAGCTAAATACAACACTTAAAATCAGACTCGAGATTCAATATAAAATACGTTGTTATATTCAATGTAAAATACGTTATGTATGTATAGTTATTAGAAGGTGTGGTTGTACGTAAATCGTCGCAAACTAACCATTAAATATTTCAAAATAAATAAATTTTGAGGAATTTTCAGCGTCTTGTCGAATAGGCAATTAATTAGTAAGTATAGGATTTCTATTAACCCATTGGTCCGGAAATATTCTAAAGATAATCCCTCTAGCGATTACTACGTCTGATTTTCATGCGGCGCCAATTCACTTGCCTAAAGATGCTTATAGATTATCCAAAATCCAATGCTATTTAAACTTACCATAAAACATCGTTTGTCCAATCGGCATGTAGTAGTTTTTGCTATTTAACCCAAACAAACAAAATACCCAACATGAGTTCTATTGGCAACAACCTACTGATCAATAAACCACTCTGAATGTTGGGAGTAACGCGCGTACGCAGTAATACGTTTCCGCTTGCCCTGGGTCCAAATCCGAATTGGATCTCCAGCAATCTCCAGGTTTGTTAGAACGCCGATTATGGGGAGACCGGAATGTGTTAGATTTTCTTTGTCTTAAACTCTGACCCTAATTTTAATATACATCTATTATTATGATACTATAAAACCTTTCACGGCTGGTCCACGGCTCATAAGTCTGGAAAACTTATTAACTGAGATTATTAGGGTATCCCTCAATCATAGGGTAATTCTCAAGATAGAATTATCTAGCCATTGTCCTGTGAAACTTCGCGTTGATTTTGCCCTTTATTTAGCCTGCTAATCGTATCCTTGATCCCGATGAGTAGCGGAATTAGCAACAACAACTAAACTATTTTCGAACTCAGCCTCGAACTTTCGATACCATTCGTTACATTCAAAGGAAGGTTGTTGCATTTCCTTGGTACCTTACCGTGCTTGACACTGAGACCCATAAAGGCTGTTGCAGTTTCATCGCCTCTGGATTAGTTGCGATCATATCGTCGCTTTATCCAAGTTGTACATATATATCAGTGTTGACTGTATTTGGGAAACATGTAAGTTATTGACATCTTGTAACTGTATGATGACGAAATAATATAAAAATTAAATTAAATATATATCGCCTTAACCCTCCAGCGGGCGCGTCCGCGGCAAAATGTCGCATTTTTTAGATTGTAAATTTTTTTTTGTAAATTCTATGCATTAAATTGCACGCCGTCGTTCTTCCAGGTATTCGTTCGCGATACATTTTCGGTCGGCATTAGTTGCAGAGTGGCATTTAGTAAGAGTGTGCAATTTTTGCGGCTGATTTACCGCGGCGCGCCTGATCATGTAAGTAAAATAATAATATTATGTTTATGGAGTTTTTTCTTACGAATTGTTTATATGTTGATATACATTTATTGTGTTTTATTCTTTATGTTAACGTATTGTAGATGTACGTCGTTTTAGCTAAAGTATTAATTTTTTCATAGATTTTTAATTTTTTGTTACAGGTCGAAAAAAAAATTCAGTCCGGACGAATTAGAGAAATAGTTGCAACAGGTGGTGAGATAATTAGAAGATAAGGAGAAGAAGATCTGTCAGCAGACGTGATTCATAATCAGAGTTTTACCAGAAGAAATCGTTTATTAATGATTAACTGAGTGACTTTTTACAATGATAATAGAATTTAACAACTAACTAACTACTTCTTCCAATGGCACACACAACTGTCAGTTAAACATAACCGGCAACATGGCACACAGTTACAAGTAACTGTACTATTAATAAGATCTACAATAGAACATTAACGATTTTGACAGCGATTCAAACCTAGAGCCAGAAGTTACTGAAAGTAACGTTTATAGCAGTGATTCTGAACAATAAGCAGATGAAGAAGCAGAATTTGAACCACGTGAACAAGACAAAGATAATCAATTTCTTATTGACAAAAACAATTATATTTAGTTTACA